GGCTTAAGATCGTAAGCTTGATTAAGAAATCGTAAAGCTACAGTATTATCCTTAGATGTGGGCAGTCATCAAACATTTAAACAGACCGAATTTTCTGAATATAAAGCAACGAAAAAAAGAAGTACGCCGGCAATAATATCATCCGAAGATGAACGCAGAGCGCCAAAAAAGATAAATTGCCAGAGTATAAATTTAGCCAAACTGGGTACCCTGAGTGTGTACACTGTTGTTGTTGTTGTGTGTTGTTGCTGTTGTTTTGAGAGCAAGGGTCTCCACTAATGTTGCCCAGCGTGAGATTCAAGAACTTCTGGCGCAAGCAACTTCTCCGCGTTGCGAGTCTCCAGAATAGCTGCACACTGCAGGCACACGCCACACAACCAGCACAAGTACGTCTCATTTAACCAGGTTGTGTCTGATCGTCTAAATCCGTTTGAAGAGAAAAAAAAAACACCTACAAGGACATGAAGTTCTAGCAGATCTAAATTTTCAAAAGCAACAATTTCTGGAATGCATTCTGAGCAGCAGAGCCAACAGTCACCTAATCCATTTTTCTTACAGTATGCCTTTCACAAAGAGAACCAAATGGTCAACCAAAGACACCCAAGTAGTGTTGAGATCAACATAATGATATAATATGGTGCCTGAGCTGACGCTGAGGAGGAAACAGTATTAGAACAATTTTCGACCGCTTACATCATTTCTTCGTCTAAATGCTCAACTAATCAAAATATGAATTAGCAGTAGAAATTCCCCCATGATTTCCAACAAAATCCTGTGTAGACCCAGAAAAATGTTCAGTGTGTTCCTAAGAAAAGCTGTGAAATTACACAAAACCCTGCCCCAAGTTGTTTTGCATTGCCAAAAGTAATTGGAATGAAAAACCCGGGACTTACTCAGATTTTGCCGTTTCAGGAATGTAAGGCTCGATTAAAGCTCGGAGTGGCTGAAGTCGTCCCTCAGGCTCGACGGAAGGCTTGTCTTTTTCATTCTCCCAGTGCGCAGAAAAGCATGACACACTTCCACTATCCACCAGCTGCAGCACACAAGAAGGGGGGCAAAGAGTGAAACCGCTTTTAGGCACAAAGAAAGTACATGTAACGTAATGGAGATTTAATGTTACCTTTAACAAACCCCCTCTACTCAGTATCAGATTACGGTACATTCTAAAAGAGGACTGAAGCTGTTTCATGTTTTAGAAAAGAACCAACTTAAAATTATTTCTTACCAGAAAAACCTTCAAATTACTGGCTTGTTATCACTGCATCTAACCCAGAGAAGGAGAAAGTTTAAAAATGACTTAAAGTCACTTTAAGTATACCCTGTTTTAAGCAGACCATATGATTTGAAAATCCAAATCTAAAAAAACATTAAAACAAAAAACTACCACTACAAACCAAAAGAAAACCAAACATAAAACATAATTAACAGTAATTACTGCTTACAAAAAGACAGTCCTCAAACAAAAGTTCCCTAATTACATTAGTAAGTATATCATGATTCAATGTACATTTAAACAGGAATACTTATTGAAATAAAGATATATAAAGGAATTTTTGAGGAAAAGTCGCCCAATTCCAAAATTCCAGAAAAAGAGGAAATGATTTAAAGTTAACAAGATTCAGCACGGATAGTATAAGGGTTTCCTAATAGCAAGTGTGAAATCCAGAGTAAGCCTAATGAATTCTAAATTCTTGCCTAAAGACTATAAAGAAAAGAGTAAACATTAGTTCTCCAGAACAATTTTGGTTTTGGTCTAAAACAGTGGAGGGGAAAAGGCCTAGAAAAGATTTAGAAGAAGCAAAGAAAGAGAGTAATCTTTTGAAAATATCAGCATGAATAAGCAAGAACTGTGGAAAAAACTGCATAATCGTCACAATAAGAAATAAAGGTGACAAAACCCATAAATGACAGTGAAGAAAATAATTGAATATTCACCAACAGACATTTTTGCACATCTCGAGATTAAGTTCCGGTTTTGTTTTTTTTGAGACGAGTGAGTTTGCGCTCTGTTGCCGAGGCCTGCGAGTGCAGTGTGATATCGGGCCACCGCAACACCTCCGCCTTTCCCAGGGTATTCTGCCTGCCTCAGACCCCAGTAGGGCGGGACCTACAGCGCCTGCACCACACTCGCTAAATTTGTTGGTATTTTTAGTGAGACAGAGTATGAGATGGAGTCTCTCTGTTGCCCAGGCTGGAGTGCAGTGGCACAATCTCGGCTCACTGCAAGCTCCGCCTCCCAGGTTCACGCCCTTCTCCTGCCTCAGCCTCCCAAGTAGCTGGGACTACAGGCACCTGCCACCAGGCCCGGCTAATTTTTTGTATTTTTTTAGTAGAGATGGGGTTTCACCATGTTAGCCAGGATGGTCTCGATCTCCTGACCTCGTGATCTTCCCGCCTTCGCCTCCCAAAGTTCTGGGATTACAGGCGTGAGCCACTGCGGCCTGCGATGATATTCTTTACAGTAGGAAAATAAACACTTTGAAGCCAAATTTGATGAAGTTGTGTAAACATATATCTGCACCATTAATGTACTTTGTGAATTCATTTTGATGCATTTATGTATCATTCTTAGATTTTGGAAACATTTAGTGTTTTAAATGCTCATTTACTGGGTTTTTTTTTTTTTTTTTGAGCCTCAAAATCTCTCCTATTATCACCCAAATACCTTGACATAATATTACAAGGCTTAAATAGTTAAGCAATAATAAAAAATAAAAACACACTTAGAAGAAAACAGTTAGCGATTTTATTTGGTCACATGGTTCCCCTAACTTCTTTGAACTTGTTGCCCTTTCACTGTCAGATGTAACACCATATCCTGTCAGTCCCTCATTTTCCAGGCTGTTTCACTCTTTTGATTTTACTTTGCTCTCTAGAGGGTCTGCTTTTATTGAAGGGTACAGGTTGTATCTTATGTGAGCAATTTAGACTTTTGATGATGCTTTTAGCTGTGTTATCCCATGGCTTCATTACTATGACTCCTGGTACCTAGCCCCTTGGGAATTGTTAAGTTACAGCAGATGAGCCATTCATATTGGTTTCAGTCCAGCTTGCAGAAGCCTATTTAATTGATACTTACTGATAAGGTATGTCATTTAAAAAATAAGTAATAAAGGTATGCTGGGAACTGGAAAACAAGGGCTATGAACTTACAGATCTGAGTTTGGCTCCCAGTCCTACAACTTCCTCACTTTAAGAACTGTGCAGATTTCTCAACGACTCCAAGCTTTAGTCTGCTTGTCTGCAAAATGATGATAAGCATACCTGTCTCGTAGGTATTTGGAGGATTAAATGAGATGATAAACATAACCACTTAGCACAGTGCCTGGTACATGCTGGGCATCTGCCACGCACCACACACTGTGTACAGACTCTGGACACACAGCAGTGAACAAGGGTGGGTATCTGCCATCAAGATGTCAACATTCTAATGGGGACCTCTCTAGCCTTTGTGAATTGACAAAACCGTTATTCTGTGACAGGAGGGTTTGGATGGAAGTTATGCAATTTAGCTTGTGCTGCAAAACAGTTTAGAATGCAAAACCACAACATTCAATGTGGTGATATTAGTATTCTGTACATTGAAAGTGTGTAAGCATACAATGGAATGTTTTTATTCTGTGAAAAACCACAGTGCTTTTTAATCATAAAACTGGAAAAATATGTTTGAAAAGTATATACTGAATTCTCTTGAACTTCCACTAGAGGGTAGTATAATCCTATTCCTTTGTTGAAATTCAAAAATGTTAAAGCCTTGTCTTTGAATTCTATTTCTTAGTTTATTTTATATGACCTATTTTAAAAAGACTGTTCCCTTCATCTAGAACAGAAGATTCTGAGTTTTGGTTTTTTTTTGAAATTTTAATTTTTTTTAGAGACAGGGTCTAACTCTGTTGTCCAGGCTGTAGCACGGTGGTGTGATCATAGCTCACTGCAGCCTCAAACTATTCCTGGACTCAAGCGATCTTCCTGCCTCAACCTCCCAAAGCTCTGGCATTACAGGATTGAACCACTGTACCCAGCCAGAAGATTCTGCTAATTCTTAGATAACAATTCTTAGATATAAGAGAATGGCAGCCATATACTGAGTTTGTCTTTTTCTTTTGATTTGACCTAGCCTGGTATAGTATTATTTTGTTTTCTTCTGTACAGAATTTTAAAGGGCATCTAACAGAGAAATTATCATAGCTCTGTTGGTTTTTCATGAACTAGATTATCGTATGTCCAGGTTCCTTTCTGAGGTTAGACCCTTCGAGAGGCACATTAATTCTCTTAGACATCTTTTAGGCTACTACATAGATCTCATTTGTTCCATAATGGCTTTTGCAAGTTAATGTACCTCTTAAAGTTTCCTTATTCATACCATCGTTACCTTATTACCTTAGTACATAAAAGTGTAACGTAAGCATTTGAAGAGTCTTGTGGTCTTTCAGTACCTGGCCTCTGTGACCTATGGGTTTGCAGCCAAAGGAGATTTCTTTGTTCCATGAGGCTAATTATTTTGTTAGAAAAGAACTCATTAAGTGGGAAATAATTTTACTGTGCTGCTTCATTCTTTATATATTAGTGGTTACACTACAGATAATATGTATTTGAAACAAATGGCACAAAGAAAAATTCCAAACAGAATTGCTTTTCCTCTGGGACGGCCTTCTCACAAAGATTTGTGAAGCTCTTTTTTGCACAGCTGTCAGGCATTCCCAAATGGCTTTTCACAATAAAATTCTACCTATCTCTTCCACTGATCACTAAATGAGACATATGCTGTTGTTATAGTGAGCAAAATGGTGAGACTTGAGCTTCTTGTAAAGGTATATTTGTGTCCATGGAGGCCTGCTAGTATTTTATGTATATGCATCCTAAGTTGGTTACCAAATGTACTCATATATGCAACTTGTTTTGCAACAGGAAATGAGCAGGCTGTGACAGGAAAATTAAATTTCTGCCAACTTAAATTCAACATAAAATATTCAGAATACACATTATGTATGTACTTGTCATTATTATATGAAGAGCTTTTTTAAGTTTTTAATATAAGAAGGGATGAAAATTTTTTTAATACCAATTCTTTTATATTTTATTACTGATTTCAAGTCTACTAATGTTAAAGTGGGAATTTTTCATCACTTCTTCTGTTTTAAGTCACTGATAATGTGACCTGGTTTAATATACTAAAAGGTATCATCATGTTGTTTAATGTTTTCTAAGTTCCTTGCTTATGTTTATTCTTTTACAAAATTTGGCATAATCTCTTAATATTTAAACTAGATGACCATGAATAGATTTGCCTTCTTGGTTATTTTACATGTTAGAGTAATGGAATCATTCTATCACCAGCAATTATTCTTTATTGAATTCAACAGGCAAGTTATTAGGGGATAGCAAAGAAGCAAAAATACAGTCTGCACCTTTAAGGCCCTTACTGATTCCTGAGAGAGATGAGAGGACACAACTAGTTGGATGATATCAGTCAGAATGTGAGTCCTATGTGAGGCTGAAAGGTCTGGGGAAGCACAGAAGAGGAAGGGAGCCCTGTGGGAGGAGGGCGGGCTGCCACTGGCCTAAGCCTGAAAAGACAGGCCGGGGTTAGGGACAGGCAGAGGCAAGGAGGAGGAGGCACCAACGTGCAGGACTCATCTTGTTTTGCTGTAATGTAGAATATGTGAAGGAAAGAAGTGAAGTAAACACAGTTTATGGCCAGAGAGCAGTAGGTCTCTGAATGATAAGGAGTTTAACTTGAAAGGGTTCGGGAGCCTGTGAAGCTTTTTAAAGGGGAGAACATAAATATGAATTTGGTGTTAGCAGTCAAATGACCACTGACTATTTCAAGCATTTTTAGTCTAAATTTGTCATTCAGCACAAGAGCATGATGCTGTCCTATTCAGAAGTATGTACAGTGTGTTTCTCATTAGGAATTCCAGGTTGATAAACCACTCACATGTTTTCATCTGGTCCCCACGTTATTAACAAAAGAGTGACTGGGGCAGCAAGTAC